CCCAGCGCGCTGGAATGGATCCCCAATAAATCCCCTTTTGCCCATTGCATGGAGTCAGTCTCTTGGGTGGTCTCTCCCTCCGACGTTTCGCCGGACCCTTACACTGGGTCCTTGAACACATCATTAAGTCACTGATTATATTATATCCAGAGATGTCTTATTTCTTGTTTGTTGTTGATACAAGAGAATAAATTTTTTCACTGTTCAAGTTTAGTTAATTTGATATTATCTGTTGCTTGTAGTCAAAAGCATTGCGATTGATATAGTTCATTCAGAAAAAGTGGAGTTCAGTCATCTTCCCATAGAGAATTTTTTTGTAGTGTGACTCTTAGGGAGGAAGGGGGTAACGAATTAGGAAATCTCCTAGAATTTGAGAAGTGTGAAATTAATAAAACATCTTTTACTGAAATTGATAGGGATCAGGTAGACATGAACAATGAGAGCATGGAAAAGGAGGGGTTTACTCTACAGACTGAGCCAGTGTGCTAATTCTCAACATGTTTTTAAAGAAACAACTTACACAAACTCATCCTGGGACTTAAGATAATAGCCTCATTCCACAGGGCTGAGGAGCTTTTGCCTCTTTTGATAAGATAAAGACTTATTGCCTCAGTTAGAAACTGGAAAGCTCAATGGCCTCAAAGCTGTGAAATCAAGTTCTAGATAAAATCAGAAGGCAGGAATGAAGATGTCTAAAGTTGCATTTAGGTCCTTGGCCTATTATTTAATCTTATTGTAATTATAAATTTTCACCCCTGTGGGTTTCAGTTAGATACTCATGAGTGAAACATACACAACAGAGATTTAGAAATTCAATATAATTCAACGATCAATCAAGAACTAGTAGTTAGTGCTCAGCAGGACTCTCTAGAAACTTCCCCTCTCACTCCAATAAAATGGAGCTCACAAAGATGTGAGTTTTCTTCTTCTCTCAGAGGACCCCTTGTCTGTCTGTCTGTCTCTCTCTCTCTCTCCCTCTGTCTCGTTTTTTTTGGTACCAGGGATTGGTTGAATCCTGGGGAGTTCTTTACCAACTAGCTACATTCCCAACCCTTCTTTATTTTTTATTTTGAGACAGGGTCTTATTAAGTTACTTAGGGCTTTGCTAAATTGCTGAGGCTGGCCTTGAACTTTCGAATCCCTTACCCCAGCTTCCTGAGTTGCTGAAAGCAAGCATCATTGTGCCTGGCTAACTTCTCTATACTTATCTTGCTTGAAATCTTCTCATGAAGACACAAAGTAGAGAACCCAATGCATCTGCTACTAACAAAATCTTTGATTATTAGAACATGATAAAACAAAGGAATTTAACTTTTTTTTTCTTTTCAGTACTGGAGGTTAAACTCAGGGGTGCACTACCACTTCCTTTTTATGTAAATTTTTAAATTTATATATGACAGCAGAATGCATTACAAGTCTTATTACATATATAGAGCACAATTTTTCATATCTCTGGTTGTATACATGGTATATTCACACCAATTTGTATCTTCATACGTGTATTTTGGATACTAATGATATAAAGAACTCAAAAAGCTAAACACATACACACAAAAACAAATAACCCAATCAATAAAAGGGCCAAGGACCTGAAGAGACACTTCTCAGAACATGATGTGCAATCAGTCAACAAATACATGAAAAAATGTTCATCATCACTAGCAATTAGAGAAATGCAAATCCAAACCATTCTAAGATTTCATCTCACTCCAGTCAGAATGGCAGCTATTATGCATATAAACAACAATAGGTGTTGGCAAGGATGTGGAGAAAACGGAATGCTCATACACCAAATTGATGCAGCCAATATGGAAAGCAGTATGGAGATTTCTTGGAAAACTGGGAGTGGAACCACCGTTTGACCCAGCTATCCCTCTCCTCAGTCTATACCCAAAGGACTGAAAAACAGCATACTAAGGGAACACAGCCACATCAATATTTATAGCAGCACAATTCACAATAGCTAAACTATGGAACCAACCTAGATGCTCTTAAATAGATGAATGGATAAAAAAAAGGGGCATATATACACAATTACTCAGCAATAAAAGAGAATAAAATCATGGCATTTGCAGGTAAATGGATGGAGTTAGAGAAGATAATGCTAAGTGAAGTTAGCCAATCCCAAAAAACAAATGCCCAATGTTTTCTTTGGTATAAGGAGGCTGATTCATGGTGGGATAGGGAGCGGGAGGATGGGAGGAATAGCCATTTCCTTTTTAAATTTTTTTTTTGTGTGTGTAGTTTTAGATGGACAGCATGACTTTATTTTATTTGCTTATATTTTTATGCAGTACTAAGGATTGGACCCAGTGCCTCACCCATGCTAGGCAAGTGCTCTGCCACTGAGCTACAGCCCCAGCCCACCACTGGGCCACTTCTGAAGCCTTTTTTTCTTTTGAGACAGGGTCTCCCTAAATTTCCCAGGCTGACTTCAAATTTGAGATCTTCCTGTCTCCGCCTCTAGGGTCTCTGGGATTACAAGTGTGCATACCACACCCAGCATCACAGTGCCCAGTATGGTTCAGCTTTAATATGCAGTCATGTGAGTTTACCTTCATTTCTTTTCTTTTGAATTTCCTTAGCTTTATAACCTGGTTCTTGATAGCTGTTACTATCAGTTGCCCAATATAGTGAGAACTTTGCTCTGAAAGGAAAGCTCAGGCATTAATAAACAATTTTATTACTTCAAGATTGGGTTCTCTACTTATGTGAGTTTTCTGCTATGGATTATAGCTGCAGTAATTATATAATACATCTTTAGTCATAATTTTGTGCTTTCTTATATATATATTTGAATATAACATTATTATTGAATATATTCAATATATTATTGAATATATTTGAATATAACATTAATGAAAAAAAACTTTAAAATTACTAGTAATTTTAAAGTTTTTTTTCATTAATGTTACTGGACTTTGTTTTAATGTTGACATTTAAAACCCCTGGATAATGATCATAGGCATTTGAAGTAGTTTATATGGCACCTCTTGACCTTCGTCCAAAGCTGAATCTCCTATCAGTTGTACACAAATTCTGCTCCTTTATTATAGCTCCAGTCCTTTTTCTCAACCTAGGAGAAGCTTTATAGGCATTACCTTTAATTCAGAAACAAGTCATTAGGAAATACTGGCACTTTTTGTTTTGTTGTAGTACTGGGGATGGAATCCAAGGGTACTCAACCACTGAGTTAAATCCCTAGCCCTTTTAATTTTTTTATTTGAGACAGAATCTTGTAAAATTACTGAGGCTGGCCTGAAACTTGTAATTCTCCTGCCTTAGCCTCCTGAGTATCTGGGATCATTAGTACTGTTTATCAGTATCAGATTCTTAAAACATTCCTTCTGACACTTCAGTGACATTGCATAATGCCTCGTGACTCCCAGTGAGGAGGATCACTTTAGTAGCCATTAAAATGCATTGGGAAGGAAGAAACAAAGGATAAAAAAATGAGGTTCTCCTCCCTACCATATTGGAGAGTAAACCTTTGTTTTTATTCTCTGCCTCAGTTCTCCTTACACACAAAATGAAAGCTATAAGAAGTTTTCATGGAAATATTAGTAAGCTTACTATTATTGTTTTGAGAATTTCAATCCAAAAAAAAAAAAATAGGATGGAGGGAGCTGGGTGGTGGTGTATGCCTGTAATCCCAGTGACTCAGGAGGCTAAGGCTTGGAATCACAAATTCCAAGCCAGCATCAAGCAACTTACTGAGACTCTGACTCAGTGAGACCTTGTCTCAGAATAAAAAGTAAAAAGGAAGGGAATGTGGCTTAGTAGTTCAATCCTTGATACCAAAAAAGGGGGGAAAAAAAAGGGGGCCAGGGTTGTGGCTCAGTGGTAGAGTGCTTGCCTAGCATGTGTGAGGGTTCGATCCCCAGTACCACATAAAAATAAAAACAAATAAAATAAAGGTATTGTGTCCATCTACAACTTAAAAAAAAAAAAAAAAGGTTGGAGGGCTTGGCAATACAAAGGAATTCAAAAGTGGAGGACCTGGAATGTAGGCTGAGGAGTTAGTTGATCATTAAGTAATGGAGGCTTGTAAAGATGTAAAGATTATTGAGTAGGGCAGTAGTAGTATTATCACCAATATCCAAGTCTTAGGAGGAAAACTGGCAGTAGTGCGTAGAATAAAGAAAATGCAAAAAAAATAAAAGTTAGGATATTATTAAAGGTCCAGATAAGGGATGCTGATGGAAGTGGGAGAAATAGGACCAATTCAAGAAATATGAAGAGAATCAATTGTAGAAGCAATAGTATTTCTCTGGATGTGAGGACAGAGAGGAAGAATTTGAACAGGACTGAGGTTTCTAGCCTGAATATTGGAAGATGCTGATACCATTAACTGAATGGAAGCACAGAGATTGCGAGTGTGTGTGAGTGTGTGTGTGTGTGTGTGTGCGTTTATGCGCCAGAGGTGAGTGTATGGCAGGGGTTAGGAATGATTTATCTTGAAGTTTCTGTGGATACCGTGTAGTGCTACCTGGCTGGACAGCTGGAGTAGGTCTGGGGAAACTTCTTCCTAGAAAGGAAAGGAATACTCTTGTAATGAGAACAGCTCACTTTTATAGTGCTCAGCCATTAGCGCCCCAAACCCTGAGGTAGTTATTACCTAGCCAGTAGTAAAAGCTTGATTATAGCCCCTGCTTACTGTATGAAGGCCCTTAGTTCCCACAACTTCCATAGGCAATGTGATATTAATTGTAATTAATTATCGTGTGGCTCATTACAGAGACTAGATTGAAAGGTTTCTCGCTGGAGCCCTTAGGGCAAGGGAACTAACTGGACAGCAGCACCCTGGGTGGCCTTCGGCC